CGGCTGCGCGGGCAGCAGCGCCGCGGAGAGCTCGCCCGCCGCTGCCTTCAGCGCGATGCCGCTGCGCATCAGGGCTGCGAATCGGTGGAACACCCCCGCCTGCACATGCTCGCCCGTGGCTTGCGTCGTGCTGAGGAAGCCGGTGCCACCGGCCACCAGGTTCGAGAACCCGATGCTGTTGAGGTAGTCCTGCCCCGCCGCCTTGAGCATGAGGCCCTGGTAGCGGCCCAGGTAGGTCAGCATCAAGACGGCCGGTGCCGTACCGGCCGGGGCGTCCACCACGTCGCTCGCGCGCTCCAGCAAGGCTTCCGACGGGCGGGTGTGGGCGAAGCCCCGCATGTCGGCGTACACGCGGTCCAGGCAGGCCAGCCCGTGAGTGAGGAAAGCCAGTCCGATCTCCTGGTCCGAACGCGCCTGGAAGCGCGCCCAGCCCTGCGCATCGATGCGGATGGGCATCGCCAGCGTCACACCGCGCCAGAAGCTCTTCGCGCTGTCCGCGGCATCGTCGGGCGCACCCAGTGCCTCCCCGACATCGACCCGCGAGGATCGCCCCATGTCGGATGCATAGCCGTCGACCACCGACTGCACCCAGCGACGGTTCGTGCGCTTGCCCTGCGCGGTGTACGCCCCCTGAAGAGCGATCTCGACGGCCTTGCGGGCCGTGGCTGGATCGTCGACGACGGACGCGGCCACGCCGAGCTGCGTCAGGCGCTGGGCCCAGGGATTGGCGATGGCCGCCTCGGCGCTGGCGAGCGCCGTGGCCGCGACGATGTTGCCCCACAGGTCGGTCTTGAACGCCAGGTCGATCAGGCGCGTCGTGCTGTTGGACAGGCTCAGGCCGAAGAGATTGATCGTGACGGACGCCTTGCTCGTGCGCTTGAGGCTCTCGGTCAACCAGCCACTGACGTCACGCACGGTGTTCGCCTCCACGGCCGCATCGACCAGGTCGCCGAGCAGCATGAGCCGGCCGGTGCACAGCGCCTGGTAGAGCCGCTGGGACGCCTGCTGGTCGACGCCGGGACCGAACCAGCCGCTGAAGGCGAGCTTGCCGTTGCGGCTGGTCTCGACCGACATCGCCAGCTCGATGCCCAGCTTGGCCTTGCTCGCGTCGCCGAGCGCCTGGAGCAGGCGGTTGCGCTGCTTGTTGTACTCGGCGATGGTGTCCCTGACGGCAGTCGCAAAGCTGCTCTGGTCGAGCCCACGGAGCGCCTGAGCGACCTTCTCACCGAGTGCGCCGAGCGGCGTGAGCACCTCGTCCAGAGGCCCACCGGCCTTGGCCTTGATGTCGTCCACCAATTGCTTGATGGCCGCCTTCAGCGCCGTGGCCGCCATCGTGGAAGCCTGGGTGATCGGCGCCTTCAGCTTGGCCTTGAGATCCGCTGTGGCCGGGTCGTCGCCGAGCAGACGCGTCAGGACGTCGTCGACCTCGCCCTCCGCGATACCGGTGCCCTGCGCCAGCACGTCGAGCGACCGATCCAGCAGGTCGCTGAGCGGATCGGCGAGGCGGTCGAGCAGGACCTGCTTCACGTCGCTGGCATCGGCCTGACCGAACAGCACCTGGGCGAGCTGCTTCAGGCCCGCGTCGCCGATCTTGGCGTCGATCAGCGTGGCCAGCTTGTCCTTGATCGCGGTGCCGGGCAGCGTCAGCGCATTCAGCCGCGCCGAACTGGCCGGGTCCAGCGCCGGCAGCCCGGCGCGGATGGCGTTCTCGGCACTCTTGGCCAGCGCGCTCAGGTCCAGCGCCGCGCCGATGCTCGCCGCAAAGCTCTTGTTGCTCGCGCGCACCGTCTCCAGGTTCACACGCAGGCCCCACGGCCCTCCGGAGGGTGCCCGCTCGGGCAGCACCCGCAGCGTCATGCCGCCGGTCACCGCGATCTTGGCGCTGATGCCGGCGTGCACCGTCAGCCCGATGTCCACCTTGTCACCGCTGAAGCCATACGTCCAGCCCGTGGTGCCGGCTTGCAGCTTGGCGCTCAGGCCCGCCTGCAGGCGGCCGTTCACCGCCATCGACGTGCCCCAGAAGATGCCGTCGCCCGCCAGGCGCATCAGGCCCTCCAGGTCATTCGGCAGCACGGCGAACCGGCGCGCGTCCAGCGCCGCCTCCAACAGCAGCTGCGTCTGCGGGGCCTCCACGTACCAGGTGAGGCGTGCCCCGCCGCTGACCGAGCCGTCCACGCTGGCCGAGCCCCAGGCGCCGATCTTCTGGCTGCCGCCGGCCGAGGCGCTCAACTGGAAGGACGCCGAGTAGCCGACGATCTGGTGCTTGTCGCCAGGCTTCATGTTCATGTCGTGCAGCTGCTCGTCGCTCAGCAGGTCGATCGACAGCTCCGCCGTCGCTGCGGCCTTGGCGCCCCAGTCCCAGCCGAACTGCGTCGCCTTGCCTTCGACGGTCGGATCGAGCAGCTTCACTGCCACCTCGGTCGTGTCATGCCGCGTCAGGCCGGCGATCGGCGTGGCCAGCAACTGCCAGTTCTCGCTCGCGCCGGCGTCCTTAAGCAACTGGGGCAGCAAGCCACCGGGGTTCTTGCGCCAGGTGTCCAGGGCATCCAGCAGCTTCTTGTCGAAGTTCAGGGCGAGCAGGTTCACATTCAGCTCCAGCAGGTTGGGGCACCGTCTCCATGACGGGCAAGGTCAATCTAATGCGAGGGCCTGCGCCGCGCCTCACCAGAACTGACGAAAGGGAGGTCGCTCGCCAACCGGCTGGCCGCCTCGTGCGCCACCCGCGTCAGCGCAGCTCGATGCCCAGCACCGCGCCGTGCTGCCGCACCTCCGCCTCCCGTGCGGCGCTGACGGCGAACGCAAAAACACCGTCGTCCACGCTCATGCGGCACAGCGCGATGCCCTGAGGGCGCAAGGCCTGCGCGAGGCTTCTCAGCGGCGTCTCGACCGGCGCCTCGTCGCGGGCCTGCCACCCTTGCCATTCGGTGTCACGGGCCACGTCGTAGGTCCAGTCCAGCGCTATGCCATGTGCCCGGCACAGGATGGCGGCCTGCCACTGGACTTCCTCTCGCGCCTTCCAATCCAGGGCGATCACGCCGACCCGCGACTTCGGGCCGTTGTTTGCGCTGATCCACGCGCCGAGGGCTTCGGCCGGCTCGACGCCCGGCTTCAGGCGCGACCTCAGCTGCCTGCCCTTGCTGGCAGCCGTCGCCTCGGGCAGATGCGCGACGAGCAGCTCGCTCAAGGCGTCGAACGCCGAGCGCTGTTCCGCCGGAACGGGCGGCGGCCGGAAATCGGCGTCGATGATCGCCCGGTCCGACACCGGCTCGGGGTCGTCCGGCTGCGGAATGGAGCGCAGGTAGTCCTGCCACATCCGTCGAAGTGTCTTGAACATGCCCTGGGTGTCTACACGAGTGAAACGGCCCGTGCCGTCTCGGCAGGGGCGCTCGCAGGACTGTAAGCCGGGCGACCTGAAAGTGATGTGAAAAGCGGTGATAGTCGACGCCGCGCTGGAGGGCCGTGCGATCAAATCCGACGCGAAATCAGAACTTGCTTCGAGGGGGGGGAAAGCCCGTGGATGTTGAGATCGCAACGGCGCCGACGCAGGCGCCACTGCCGGAGGCTGGCCCGACCGGCGGCACCGGCCCG